AGCATACAATTTTAATTAAATAATATGGAATATTTTTTAATCATTGTTTAAAGTCTCGATTTTCATCTTGAAACTTTCATTTTGATACAGATTTGTTTAAAAGTTATAGTCTTTTTCTCATAACGATAAATTTTGAGCTTCTCGCTTTATATATTTGCAATAAAAATTTATATATTTATTTTTCAATTATTGAAGCAAATTATTTTGGAGATTTATTATTCTAGTCTTTAAAGGAGTCAAAGAAGCTATATGAATTTTTTGAACATTTTTACTTCTTGGAAAACATATTGAATAAAAGTGACCCTCTGTACACTTTGAAGGTACCAAAAATAACAATATTTAAATTAAATTTGTCATTCTTTCTTGTTCTCTACACATCCATACTGATATATACACACACATAATTATAATTTCAAATTAGAAATAGATTTGGATTAGATTACGTTAGAATTTTTTCGGAGTAGAAGTACAAGCGGAAGAGCAAAGACCACGTACGTTCGGTTAAATATGTAGATATGCAGCTAATGTAGAATTCATGCTCATGAGTTTATTCTCGGAAGCACCGGATGTGAAATCTCGCTTCGCTTTGCGCAAAATATGGCACTCGCTCCAACCAATGAAGCTTCTCTTCCCTCATTTATATATTTATTTTTCAATTCTTTGATTTTCCCTATAAAGACTTGATATAAAGATGCTTGACTTAATGTATATGTACATGTAGAAATATGTATATAAACTACATCGAATATTTTAAATTTTTCATTGTCAGTTCATGATTTTCACAAAACTTTGTTAACAACTTTTTAATAACTGACGAACGACATTTAAAAACTTTTGCATTAAAAATTTTTGGATTAAAAACTTTTGAATTATTCAGGATGACAACCTTAACAATATATAAAAATGCAAAGTTAAAAGAATTGAATTCTCTTTTATGCATCTTTAACTAATTTACAACTATTTATGCGAAAAAATCTTTTATATTAAGTAATAATAAATATATGCATGACATTTCAGAAATTCAAATGGATTTATGTATCTATCTAAGCGTGTGTGTATCCATGCCTGTACGTATAAATGGAATTGTGTGTGTGTAATTTGCACAAAAAATCTATATATTACAACAATTACCATTTTATGCCAAAAGAAGCCGGTGATAAGAAATGCTTCCTTTCAATTTTGCATGTATATACATATATATATATATGTATATATATATATATATATACGTATATATATATATATATATATATATATATATAAGCACAGTAATATATAAATCTATTTATAAACTGTTTAATTAAATTTTTTATTGTCAATCTATGTTCGAAACTTTGATTTAAAAAAATGAATTCTCAATTGCCAATAACTTTTTAATAAACATCGAGTAATGACTAAAACTTTTTCTAAAAGTTATTCGGATAATATATGCTAAAATCGAAAAGAGATCCTTACATCTTTATCAAAAATTTATTTTCAAATGTTTTATAAAATTTTGTTTTTATAAAGTTTTATAAAACGGAGTCCAAATATTAATAAACACACATAGATTGTTTTGGGATAAACATCCACGAAATGGAATGCACATGGAATGATTTTGAATACCGGTAAAACTATTTTTCTTAAAAAAATTTTTGTTTTTACATAAGAGCATGTATGAAAAATTGACGAATATTCCAGATTACCTATGAATTAAGGTCATTGGATGTGCATAAACACTTTCTCTATTTTTCTTTAAGATTTTATTACAATTATGCGTGCGTGCATGCGTGTGTATGTGTGTGTGCATGCGTGTGTAATATTTAAATATCGCTTTATTTTATATGCAATTTATATAATAAGAGAAAAATCTCTTTTTAATAGGCGTAATGTTGAAAATATAATAAATAGATTAGTAGACATATAAATATATAATATTGAAAAGTGTTGATTAAATATTTTAGAGTTTATGTTCAAAATATAGATTTTCTATATTTGTATATTTATAATATTTTTGCCCTAACATAAGATATTATAAGATTTTCTAATGCAAGTTTCCTAGTGTATTAGTTGTTATTGCATAATAAAGTCATTTTAGATTTTCTAATTTTTCTATAATATGATAATTAAAATTTTTGTAATTCTGTACTAAAAATAATTTATTAAATGTAGATTAAACAATCATCATATGATAAAACCACTTTGGTCATATGATAAAACCACAATTTAAAAATTCAAATATTTCATAAAATGATTTATTATTGAGATATATAATTTTATAGATTTTCAAAGATATAAATTTTTATATATAAATATGTATTTTTTCTCAAATTTAATCTTGAAATATGTTGTCAAAATCATAATTCTAAGTAACTAGTCTCGTAATTATTTATTACGAGTTATTAATGAATAAATATTCGATTGTTTGAGTATTTCTTTGAATAAGAAAATAAAACTGATAAAAATTAAATTTATAATTGTGGCTTATTTAATTTTATGTAAATTTCCAAATTCTTGCGCGAAGTGAGATTTATTTTATATTTTATGCTTAAAAATTATTTCCTTTTTTATTATCTATTTATAAACTTTAGCGCTAGGTAATGTGGAATTATCTCATTGTTACACAAAAAGTCACAAGCTTGTGTAAAAAATTGTACTGTTACAAAGGATCGCGCACAAATTTTATCGAAAAGTGATGTTAGTGAAATTATCTAAAAGTTGGATATGTTTTAGTTTATGATCTTCTGATCAAAAGTCTCAATGGGCAAGATCTTCACAAAAGTGGATAAATTTTTTGTTACAGATGTTTAAAACAAACAATTAGATTCACGTATGCTGGAAATGTATTCGATATCACATATGAAAATATGCGTGTATGCTGCTATATTCGCGTTTATGCATGAGTCTGTGTGTATACCATATATAGGGTATCCTATTTTAATTGTGCACTCTGATTAACATTACAAGAAGTAGTACCCATTTATACGTATGTGTATGTCTTGCCCCCCCCCCCCACAGAGGCTCCACTTTCGGAAGATAAAATCTAACTCAAACCTATTTCTGACTTAAAACAAATTTAGTTTTAAAACGGAAATAGGATTGGGTTAGGTTGTATTTTCCAAATGTGGAGCCTCCCCGTAGGGAGGACGGAATCCACTGTATCTACGCATATATTTTGCTAGATAACGGGAAGTTGATTCTAATTTCCCTCTGAGAATATGCAATTTAGGTAATTTACCCAAAATAAGTTTATGTAAATTTACCCAAAAGAAATTCACGGGACGATTAAACTTATTTTATAAATAACTTTGTAATAAACAACGAGCGACAGCTAAAACTTTTTGTAAGTTAATTAGCGACATGTCCTTGACAACATATTTCAAAGTCATCGAAATTGGTGAGGTTGTCGCTAATATGCAATTTTATCCTATTTTTATTTACATATTTACTTTTCTATTTTTGATATACAGAGTGTCCCAAAAGTCCCGGACCGGTCGAATGTTTCATAAACTATGCACTTTAGAAATAAATGTTTCAGACAAAAGTTATATAGCTTGAAGGGGGCCATCAGATAATGGCAATGATTTGATCTTGGAGAGTCATTTGAAGGTGACGTAAAGGTCACCTTCAATTTCTTAAATGGAACCCCCTATTTTTCATTGCATATTCTTGTAGCTTATCTCGAGAGCTTTCCAAAACACTACAATTAAGTACCTTTACATTAAGTACTTTTTGAGTTATAAGGCTTGAAATAATTTCTTAATTTTACATAAACCATAAAATATCTAGTAAACCATTCATTTTTCGATTATCTTACCTTCATACTTTTATGTACAAAATAATGAGAGGAATCAATTGGTGTAAAGAAAACACATAGTTGTTTCTAAGAAAAAATATGTAATTTGCAATTAACAATTCCATATTTTTTCTTAAAAACAACTGTATGTTTTCTTTACACCAATTGATTTCTCTCATTATTTTGTACATAAAAGTATGAAGGTAAGATAATCGAAAAATGAATGGTTTACTAGATATTTTATGGTTTATGTAAAATTAAGAAATTATTTTAAGCCTTATAACTCAAAAAGTACTTAATGAAAAAACATTTGTCTATAGTGTTTTGGAAAGCTCTCGAGATAAGCTACAAGAATATGTAATGAAAAATAGTGGGTTCAATTTAAGAAATTGAAGGTGACTTTTATGTGACCTTCAAATGACTTTCCAAGGTCAAACTAATGCTACCATCTTATGTCCCCCTTCACACCCTACAATTTTTGTTTGAAACATTTCTTTCTGAAGAGTGCTGTTTTCGAGATATTCGAGTGTATTGATTAAAATGACTCACCCTGTATAATATTATATATATATATATATATATATATAATAATTATATATAATAATTACTATAATTACTGACCAATGCACTTCCTTTGACTCCCCCTTCCGTAACCACCCCGGCAAGGTGGACTTCGCTTTACAACTTACAGCATATCTCCATTGTGATTCAACTCTTCGCAATGCGTCCCCTACCGGCCCTACTTTGCGTGGAAAATACTTTCAAACTGTGTTTTCATACTATAGTTCTATCTACATGATGTCAATAAAATCTATATTCTCTTTCACTTCTTTTACTAATAACTTTTTAACGAACAGCGAGCGACAGCTAAAACCTTTTGAATGTTACTCAGGGCAGTGATATGTCAAGGTCAAGGTTAATCGAAGCGAGCTCCCTTTATCGACATATTTACCAAATTTAAATCATATATTATATCTTATAGATCATAAATATCTTATAGATTTAAAAAAATATATTAAACGAAAAGATGTTGCAGATAATATCATTGAAGCTTTGATAATTGAAAGCATCTATCTCTGTAAACATAATAGTAAAAATAGAAAAGTCCAGATTCAATTTTTCTTGATAAATTTTTCATAATATTAGTACATAAAATTATTTTTTCATCAATAATTTTATATTTGAATTTGCTCATTTATCTATTAATTCCGATTTTGATTTACAGATCAGCGACAAAAGGTGCTGTATGAAGCATTTGTTCGAATTAAAGCCGGAGGAATTACCATGTCCGGAGCTTTCGCGGGAAGATTTAATGGCCTCCGAGCAACCATCCAGCCGCCATGAAAATGCACGTGTCGGTTCTTCTGGCTCTAGCTGGTTTAATTCCGGTTCTATCTCAGTTCAGTCTGGTCAGTCCGTCCTCGCTATCCTCTCATTGTTATTGCTATCTATACTTTTTTTCACATAGAACCAACTATATGTATTCAAGAAAGCAACATAAAGCGTCATTCGGCGTCCCGATATCCTCGAATGAGCAAAAAGAAAATCGCACATAAATAAAACTGAAATGTATGACAGATGTGTGCATGTGAAAACGTTCGTGTATGTGCATATGCACTTATATATGAAAATTAACACTGACTTGAGATGTACCTTCGAGATATCCCAAAGCGCTTCTAATTATTGTTTAATGTATGAAGACTGTCTGAAAAAATTCGCGAGTTAAAAAAATGTCGCACACAAATGTGGTTGCATATCAAATAAAATGTCACTAAGTCATGTCATCTGTCCAAACTACAAAATATGCAGTCGTGTTTATAATTTTTAAAGTTTGATAATTTTTTAAATATATTTTATATGTATTTGATATATACAGGGTAGTCCACATAAAATGTTACAAATTTATATCTCGGAAATGAAGCAATTTAGAGAAAAATGTTTCAGACAAAAGTTGTATGGTTTCAAAGGGGACATAAGTTAGTCCCATTAGTTTGACCTTGAAGAGTCACCTGAAGGTCACGTGAAGATCATCTCCAACTTTTTAAACGGGATACCCTATATGCTTTTGCATATTCTTCTAGCTCATCTCGAGAACTTTTTGAAACACTATAATTAAGTTAGTTTTCATAAGTACTTTCCGAGTTATGAGCCTTGAAATCATTTCTTAATTTTACATAAACCGTAAAATATCTTGTAAAATATTCATTTTTCGATTATCTTACCTTAATACTTTTATGTACAAAATAATGAGAGGAATCAATTGGTGTAAAGAAAACACATAGTTATTTCGAAAAAAAAATGTAATTTGCAATTAACAATTACATATTTTTTCTCAAAATCAACTACATGTTTTCTTTACAAGGAGTAGGAGTAGGAGTATTCTTGCGGAAGATTTTTGAAAAATAAAAATTAATAAATATCCTCTTTTACGAATTGTTCAATCATCGTGCATTGAGCATGCCACTATATGATTTGTCAAATATGGTATAAAAGAGACGCGACATTATTATTTATAATGTGGAGGAATACTAAAATTAAAGACATAAAATTTAAAAAGGCTATTGTAACATGCAACACTGCCATCTCGTTAATATATTACCTTACATAATACACTGCCATTTAGATTATAGTTATACTCTGGCTGATCTCAACTAATCCTATTTAAAAAGTTGGAAGTGATTTTCACGTTACCTTCAGGTGATTCTTCAAGGTCAAACTAATGGCACCATCTTATGTCTCCCTTGAAACCATACAACTTTTGTCCGAAACATTTTTCTCTAAATTGATACGTTTCCGAAATATAAATTTGTATCCCTTTACGTGGGCCACCTTGTATAGTATAAAAGAGTTCATTATTATACAAAGTATATTTTATCACATAAACTTTGTAAACAAATCAACTGATAAAATATGAAATATTATTTTCATGATATAATTCACGATACGTTCGCTGTATTTTTAATATATTTGCTAATATAGCTTATCTCAGAATAAGCTTTTATTTAGTTTTATTTTATACAATGTTAATTTACAAATATGACCTCTCGAACGCGCTTTTGGGCCTTATATTATTGTACGTTGTTATCATATTCGTACAATATACATTCCTATGTGCACGTTACTGTAGGTATAAAAATATTAAATACAGTACAGCTTGTCTCGTTAATTTTGGCTTTCCAAGGAGTAGGAATATTCTTGCGGAAGATTTTTGAAAAATAAAAATTAATGAATATCCTCTTTTACGAACTGTTCAATCATCGTGCATTGAGCATGCCACTATGTGATTTGTCCAATATGGTATAAAAGAGATGCGACATTATTATTTATAATGTGGAGGAATACCAAAATTAAAGGCATAAAATTTAAAAAGACTATTGTAACATGCAACACTGCCATCTCGTTAATATATTACCTTGCATAATACACTGCCATTTAGATTATAGTTATACTCTGGCTGATCTCAACTAATGATATCCTTCAAATACGAATATAAATATGTAAAATGACATTATGAATTGGCATAATTTACAATAGACATTAAAAAACTAACAATAATAGCAGTTGATAACAAGTAACAGATTTTTCTAAATATTCATTTATGATTAGAATAATATTCATTCCTTTTTTCGCAAGTTTTATTATATCCCAATTTTATTATTATCCTAATTTTAAGACAATTTATCAAAATTTTGATGTTAATATGCTTTTATTATTTTTTATTAATTATTATATTTATTAATTTTTTTCAATCTTTTATAACGTTTTACAGGATGCTGTAAAATATAAACATTGCAGATATAAATGTATGGATAGCTTTAAAATTTTGATATAAATTTACATGACACACTTTTTTCTGCTTCGTTTCTTTTATAACTTACGGTATTATAACATACGATATTATAAACTAGCAAATATTACGCATTCAGGCGTGTCATTAAATGTTTTACATGAATTAATACTTTGGTTATATATATTTATAACAATTGATCACGATCTATAATTATTAATGATAGATAAGTAGTTATGGCCACACTCGCACAATCATAAAATATAGCAATCTCTCCATCAAAAATTAACATTATTATAAAATTTCTGAATAAAATTGAAAAGATGCAATACCATCATAAGCATCAAAATATATTTTTTGCATGAAATATAATACCATTAATAATTTTAATGTATTTATCGTTAAAAATTAGAAAAACAAAACAACTGAATGATTATTTGAATTATTAACATTAAATTAGTTAAACATCTTTTTAAAAACGTTATTTAAAAAATACTTTTTAAACAATCCGAACAATGTTTTTTGCTTACCTTCACAAATTTATATATAAAATAATTGATTTAATTTTACATAATTTGTTTATTATATTTTGTTTCTTCTTTTATATGTATTTATATATAAAATTGATGTTGTGATTAGAAATTAGAAGAAATATGTATTGTTTATTTTACAAGATATATCTTTTTGCATGAAATAATACATAAAACTAAAACAAATCATTAAATGCTAAAATGCTGTTTAATCATTAATATTTAGCATCATTCTCTTACAAAGTAATAATTGCAAGATAATTATTTTTGAAATATTTATCGAATAATTTTTCAATAATTAAATCTACATTTACATATAATAATTTTTTTGTTCCAAATTTAGTTTTTGCGCTTTTCCTGTAAAAATTTAAACTAGATGAATTTATATTTTAATTTTTGGACAGAAGAAAAAAAACAAAGCTAAAAAATTGTAGAAAACACAATTCTCACTCTCTTTGCGAGTAGACATAATTTGCAATAATCAATTAGGAAAAAGTACATGATATTGATAACGTGGAACATAGCTTATACTCTATGAAACAATGATAATTAAAGAATAATTAAAGAATAATTAATAATGTTGAGGTGTTATTTGTCATAGTATATGCATTGTCATGATATCATGATAGTATTTGTATAGTATATGAAACATCGAGTCGCAAAGCAGTATCACAGGAAATACAAAATATGTAAGTCAAACATTGGAATGTTCATCCTGATTCTAAAAGACATTACTTTAAAATATAACTTATTTTAATCTAATTATAACGCATCATCGTGAGTTAAAACACTACTTTGTAAACAGAGTTTTAATCCGCCAAATACACTAACGTATATACACTTTTGCATATTTTTTATTTAATAGTATATTCTATTTAATATATTTGTATATATACATATTTATAAATAGTAAATACAATTATGATCAAAACATGCACACATATATACATATAAATGATTTAATTATAATTATATTTATTATTTATAAGTCGATTATTCATCATAACTATATTTATTATTTATCTGGATATATATGTGTATTAACATATTAACAATATACAAAGTGTTATCTAATTAAGACTCTCATGTGTAAGTAGAGCGGATTGAACTGATTGTGAATAGAAAAGTTCTCTATCTTCGCAATAATTAATAAAATATTACTCTAATCACCAAATGTAACATTGAAGCGCCACGCACTGCCATCATCTTTTGAAAAGTGCCTCTTCGTTGTGCGTCTAATATCAAGTTGTAGGACGACATTTCTCGCCGCGGGAGAATTCTATTCTCATGAATTAGTCAATTCTTTAAAATTAATATCTTATTAATTATTGCGAAAATTGCAAAACAATAGAGGATTTTCCTATTCAGTTTAATGCTCTCTACTTGCACATAAGAGTCTTAGGCGATTATTAAATAACACCCTGTATATCACAAGATCAAAGTCATTAAGGTGGGTAGGTTCCGGTATTTGAAATATTTAATAAATATTTCGAATACTGGCATTATATTAATGATTTTGATCTTGATATATATTGTTAATATGTTGATAATTTTGATTTTTAGAAAAGAGTTTCTTTCTTTCTTCTTTTTAGTAGACGAACTATTGATGTCTTTACTACTTGTGTGATGCTATAGTGCGACGCGATACTTGTTGTCGATTAAAAAAAAAATATAAATTAAAGAGCTAAACATTAGTTGCAGCTGTCGGGCCAATTTTCGTGATTCATATCCATTGTTTCCTCGTCTCCACTTACAATCTAACAATTTGTCATTAGATGCACATAACTAAAGTGCAAGATAATTTGTCTTATAAGTATTCGTAACTAACAGTGCGATTCCATATATGTGAGAAAACAAGAGAAAATGGAAACAAGAAACAAAGAGAGAGAAAGATAAAAAAAGAAGAAGGGAGAAAACAATACAGAGTGGCTGAAAACTTTGCGCACATCCGAAGTGTGAAGGTAGATTGGTTCAAAGAAGGAAGATCCTCTACTGTTTTGCGGTATTTGCAATAATTAACGAAAAATTAATTAAAGAAAATCAGCCAATACACGTGGCTAGAAATGCGTGGCGGTGAAGGCGGTCTTACATGCCCTAACCTAACATAATGGCGGCGCGCGGTGAAGGCTCCTCGAAGAAAAAAAGTTTAAATGAAAACTTTTAACAATATTTAAGAAAGAGGGGGAAGGAAGAGAAGGAAGGAAGGAGGGAGAGAGGGAGAGAGAGAGAGATTGCTCTAGTGATATGAAAATTTTTTCTTAAAAATAATTAAAAAATAATTTAAAAATAATTAAAAAATTGCACGCACATTTAGTTACATGTCCTGCTACTTATAAGATGCCAATAGCAAAGAAAAAATTAACTATGAAAATTGACCTGAGAGTCAGTTGCAACTATTCTTTCAAGTTCAAATTAAAGTGTTCCAGGATATCATTTATGTACCATATTTCAATCATCAAAATATAAAGTAAATAAGGTAACATTTAAAG